AATCATTTTTCATATTATCCGAAACGATTAAATACAATGCCGGGACATTACCCTTAAAATTCGAAACTTGGGAATTAAGTATTTGTAAAACAAAAAAAAACAATTTCCATATGCGAATTGGAAGTTCCCGCGCCATCCGCGCTAGTGCAGTGACTTCAAATTTTGCGGTCTCTTGCGAGTCGACTTTCTTTCGCACCTCCGCTCCACGCTACAAAGCAAAGCCCCGTTGCCACCGCGACCCGAAGCGAGAAGTGGGGAAGAAGGGCGCCGGGCGGACCGGGAAACCGGTTTCTACGTCCGGTTCCGCTACTCACCGATCATCCTCTGCTCGAGCGCCGCCAAGTTTTCCGAGGGCGGATACAAATCCAGGACGCGACATCACAACGGACTCCGATTTTCGGTATTTCAAAAAGATGGGCCGTAGTGTGTTCGCAATTGCGTTATAAAACTTGTTCTTTCGATTGCCGTTATTAAATGGTATAGAAATGTCACCTACAAAGCTTCTAAATTCCTGATTCTTGACGTCACGAATCAAAAGAAGCGAGGAGGCGAAGAGCGGGAGAGGAAAGCACCAAAAATAAAAAGACGCACGAGCGCGCGGAAAATTTTTTTTCGCGATGCGGATTTTTTTTTTTTGCGTGTCTATGACTACAACGTGCATCGTTTTTGACGATAAAAAAATGCGAACTTTGGGGTCGCATTTTTCAACTATTTTTCAATCTCCAAAATGTCGGGAATCAATAACAAACAGTCGTTGCAGTTGGCATGTAGTATAATCTGGAAACATCGGCCTTTACAACACCACTACATGTGCAAATCGGAGATGGTCCGTCTGGAATTTCTCCGGTTCGCTCTTTTACCGAAGTTGTCGATGTCCGCTTTGCACAAACCCGAGAATAGAGAGTTTTAGTAAACCGTGTTTCCCCCTTCGCTAAGCTCCTCCGCTACCCGGAACTCTACAGCTAAGGCCATCGGCGCGCAGGCGCAGTGGCGGTTTTTTCGTAGCGGAGGGTTAGCGGAGGGGGAAAGGTGGTCTACTAAAACTCCCTATTGTCTCTCGGGATTTCCTCCGGTGTGACTTTAAGCCGAGGTAAAAAAATCCCGGTTTGTGCGAACCGGAGCTTCTCTTTCCGGACTGTCTCCGGATTGATTTTAAACTGGATTTAGTATTTCGGATTGATATCAAACCGTTATTTTTGGCAGGGAAGTCAAAGGAAGAACAGGCACCCGCGACGCAGATCACGGGACCTGGAGGGGGAATGACGCTCGGCCTGTCGCACCGGAAGGCTGGGGGCCCCCATAGCCAATCAAGCGCCAGTTCAGAGTTGATGTCACGTTCTGCTACACGCCCAAAGCAATGCAAAACGTCACGCTTGCATTGCCTAATGTCAAAACTCAAACTGCGCTTTTTGGTCTAAACATATGTTTCGCCATTGTCATTCTCTGAGCTGCCTCCGTAAGTTCCGCTGATTAGCTCTCCGAGTGTTGTGCGGGAAAGCGGATGCACGGGAGTTTTTCTTAGAGTGTACATTCACGAGACTGCCTTCAATAAAAACTGAAAGCGAACAACAGATACCAAAAAACGGTGTTCGTTTAACGGTCCCTTTTACTAGGTTTTAACGCCTTGTCGGGTGTTCCGGCCGATATATCAAAAATGTTATCCTGAGTCAGCGATGGGGCGCTTTTGGTTTCCCTGAAATTAGAAAAAGGATTAAGCACGTTGGTTTCACGTGAGCGCGTGTTCAACGCTAAGCGCGCCGACTTGAACATTAATTATGTTGCAATAGTTGCCAAAACAGACTGCGCTCAACATGAACACTCCAAGAGCACACCATTTCTAGAGGTGCAGCTATAACGAACGTGTTCATTAGGGGGCCTGTTTGTTATATACAGTACATTATAGCTTAAAAGGAGAAATAATGCAGGCGTGCAGGTTTGCAATGAAAAGTTTTAAAGTATAAAAATCATAACTTACCCGGGTAAAATTACTTTGCGTTAGCGATTAGCATTATTCAAGTTGGTATAACATAAACACGTGGACATCAGTGCCAATTGAAATGGTTTTTCTACTGACAGTTACCTGTGTGTAAAATCATATGCTGGCCGAGGTTTCTTTTTTTAAAGCGATAGCATTCTTCAGCTACTTCACCCGGTTTTCGCGATACGCAATCTGGCCTCGAATGCGCCGCTGGTATGCGCAGCACGTGTATTCGGGGGCGCCGCGCGGCGGCGCGGTGCCTGCGGACACGCAGGGCGTCCGCATACGCACGACGTCCACATGCGCAGACTTCGCGCAACTGCAGACGTCGTCCTCGACGTATTCCCAAAAGGTCGTTCTTGAGATCGCCCGAAAGTCACCATAGATGTCGTCTTTGATGCCGTCCTCTAGGACGTCGTCCTAGAAGTCGTTCACGAGATCGTCCTAAAGGTCCTTCTACACATCGTCTTCGACGTCATGCTCTACATCATCGTCCTAGACGTTGTCCTAGAGGTCGTCCCTGAGGTCGCCCTAGAGAGCACCCTAGAGGTCATTTCTAAAGTCGTCCTACACTTCGTCCTCTTGGACGCCATCATCGACGTCGTCCATCAAGAATATAAACCCGCGCCACGCATCGGCAGCACGCACCCATTCACATGTGTGCCCAAGCAACGAAGTAATTATTGGTTTCAGTTGAGCTAGTTGGTATACGAACAATGATGATGGTCGAACAGCTTGTACATTAAACGATTACGCAGAAACAGTATAACATTCACGAAGCTGCAATAATGGTGGGGAAACAACTTGAACGTTAAACAAGTACACAGACACCGAATAATAAAAGATTACAGAGATACGACACAACCACTGAATTTAGAAGTGGCGCGCTGCAGTTGTACTGACGTCAATGATTGTGCCTTTAACCATTAGTATATTAAAGTGTTTACTCAAAATTCGCGTCGCCGTATTCACAGTGAGCTGCGTCTTGAGTCTCATGACGACGGCTATCGCAATTCATGCACAACCAACAATAGTGGTTTCTGCAGCCAAATTTTGTCGTACTTCACGGGTGAAGATTTATCTATACATGCTTGACTAGCACAAAAGTTTGAAGCGCCTAGGAAACATATTGCTTCATATTAAATATAGCGTAGGGGTTCGGGGTATTTAGAAATCGTAAATAAAAGCACTGCGGTTTAGACGCTTTAAACTTAGGATGCCCTTATATCCTTATCGTTATCATATCCTTATCCTTATATCATACCCTTATCTGATATCTTCCGGAGCACCATAAGGGTCGATCCTTTGAGATTTGCTTTTTAATCTTTTTATAAACAGTCTTGCAACTTGGGCCAGTAATTCAGAAACGCTACAGTTGGCTGACAACGTGAAAATGTATCGTAATATCCGCAAGCCTGCTGACTGTGAACTGTTCCATAACGATGTTGATGCGATTCGGATGTGGTGTTGTACAAGCCTGCGCCTTTTAGACCCCACTAAAACTAAGGTTGTATCTTTCTCTCTTAAGGCAAATCTTATTGTTCATCCCTGTGAATTGCACGGCTCAAGAATTTCAAGATCTTCAGTTATACGCGACCTTGGTGTTTTGATTGACTCACAGCCCAATTTAAATTACAATGTTTTAAAAATTATTAATGATCCATTACACATCCTAGGCGTAACTGCACGCATTAGGCGTAGTTTCCACAGTTACACCTGCATACTGCACCTATTTCGGTCGTTAGTTTTATCAAGGTTGAAGTTGTTTTCTGCTGTGTGGAATTCCCTGGGATTCAGTCAAATGGCGAGGCAAGCGGGGGTACGGTGGCGAATTGTAAGAATTATCTATGATCGCCACATTGGACCTAGTGTTTTTTTATGATTACTTACGTCATTGGATACACTTGTTCTTTCGTCTCTAACGAATAGACTATGAACTAGCGACATGGTTTTTTAATATAGACTACTCAATGCTGCTTTTGATTCTCTCGTGTTATTGAGTAAAATCTCACTTCGTTTAGCTCAGCGAAAAATTAGGTCTACGGTTTCTTTTTACCCTTTTAAATTAGAATCTTTTCCACCGTTGACTCGGCTGCAGACCATGTATGAAAAGTTCTTTAGCCCTGACCCGGATTTTTATATAGATGCCATTGCATATTAAAAAAAAAAGTGTATTACTGAGGCTCACATCGCAGAGTCAAAATATTTCTGATCCGACAGTCTTCCACTTCGTGCAAGAGTAACCCTCCTAAGGCCTTACCAGCTGTACTGCAGTTACCACTCGTGGAGTAGGTACAAGGCTGGAACTAGATAAGAGACGGAAAAATAGCGGTTGCACCTTACCGCAACCACTAGCTTTCTACCTGCTCCACGAGTGGTGACTTTAGTGCACTACTATGGTTTTTACGGGCTCAAAGGCTTTCAGAAAATTACTGATTTGGTGGATTTCGATGACGCTGAGCAGGTTTCTAATTGGAACCATATGTAGATTTTTATTAATTAAAAAGTTAATGAACAAAACTTAATTAATTAGCCGGCTGATCGTTACGATTAGTCCTCTATACTATGTTGGCCTGGATGTATAACTCACCTCCACAAGGGGCATACGTGTAACTTTCACGGCTTTTTTTAAACAAATCTCTTCAGCTTAAGAAAACACCCTGTATATAGATATATATATATATGTGTGAATGTGCTAGGTTTTTTTACAGTCCATTTGTCTAATACAACCATAAAAAATATATTTAATTCGAAAGAAAATAGATTGGTTGAGCAATTCACCACACAAATACTGTTTCTATGATAAAAGCAGGCTTACATAGGATATAGTACATATATATATATATATATATATATATATATATATATATATATATATATATATATATATATATACCCTATGTTAGCCTGCTTTTATCACAAAAAAGGATTTGTGTAGTGGATCGCTCAACCAATTTATTTTCTTTCAGATGACGTTATGGTTTTGTTTAGCTCGCGACATTGGTCGGTGAGAGTTACCGAATCATTGGTGAGTAGGCTTTTTGGTTTTTTTGGTCCTTGGAGACTTTGACTTGTTTTTACCTGCGCAAGAAAACAAATTTTACTCAGCGTCAAACAGCATCTGCTTTCTTTTGTTTTTATTTCTTGGTTTATAATAAAGAAACAGAAATTAAGCATAATTATTTGGGAGCCGATGAGCGCAATCCCTGACTTTATCCTACCATGTATTGTTATAAGATGCCAGTAGGAGTTGGTAGTCATTATAACCCTCCGCAGAATGCACTGCTTGGTACCATAGCCTGATTTGGTCATATTTGTCTTTAGGTACACTTAAAGAGTAGTATCACGAAGAGTATTGACGTTAGGCCAAACAATATTCACGGTGAGCAAGGGTAACATTGTTATTTCATATACCATGCACAATATTATTTTAAATGATATGCTCAAACATTATAACGATAGCGCTTTTCGCGTTCTCCTCTCATAATAAAAGTGCGTTACACCCGTATACACTCTAAGAAATGCCTGCGCGTGCACTAACCCGCACAACACTGGAACAACCAATCTCTGCGATCTACAAAATCAGTTCAGCGAATGACGAGGCGGAACATCTGTTTATACCTCAAAATTAAGTCCGCGCTGTGGCAATACGCAATGCAAGCATGACGCTCTGCATTGCGTAATGCCACAGCGGAGACTTCATTTTTAGTTCTAAACAGATGTTCCGCCTCATCATTCACTGAGCTGATTTCCTACATCGCAGTGATTGGCTCTAAGAGTGTTTTGGGGGTAAGTAGACGCGCAGGCATTTCGTTGGATGTGGTAGAAGGCTCATGGTGTAGTGCTATACTGATATAGCAAGAAATGTACAACCTAATACAGCGATTGTAATTTTCAAGACTGCGCTTAGTTATCTGATACAATAGCGCTTCTGTAAACAGACTGCGTAGTGGGAGTTCTAAGGTCCACGTAAGCGTGGTGCTTGTTTAATACGTGACACGTCATAAAGCTCCGTAGCAAAACAACACCATAGACTGTGGCCCGTGTTGAATGGCAGGAAAGAAAAGAATATGCGCAAAACTTACCGTAAGGACAGGAATCCCTACAGGAACGTCTGGACCCAAAGTCATTCGCATTTCCTCCACATCCTAAGTAGGGCTCGCATTTGTCAGTGCTGTTTTTAAAGTAGTATAAATGTTTCATCGTCTCATTATCACCGCAGTTGAATGGCCCAGCATGGTATGCTCTGCAGACTTCCTCTGCAGAGAAATTCGATGATATATTGAATATGAAGGAAATTATTATTTATAACAATTTAAGATGGAAGCACTAACGAAAAACGGTTTCGGTCCTGAGATCACCTCTGCCCTGATATGCTATGTCGAGCACCACTCATGTAATATCCAATCTACTTTATACACTCTAAAAATGGCCCGTGAGTCTGCTTTCCCGCACAACACTCGGAGAGTCAATCACCGCAACCTACGGAGGCAGATCAGCGAATGACACTGCCGAAACATATGTTTAGAGCAAAAAGCGCAGTCTGAGTTGTGACATTAAGCAACGCAAAACGTCACGCTTGCATTGCTTAATGTCACAACTCAGACTGCGCTTTTTGGTCTAAATATATGTTTCCCCATCGTCATTCGCTGAGGTGCCCCCGTAAGTTGCGGTGATTGGCTCTCTGAGTGTTGTGCGGGAAAGCAGAGTCACGGGCTTTTTTTACAGTGATATTGGTGTTATAAAGCGCGGGGAAATGAATTTGTCTGCGAATAGGGAAAAATATACTCTACTTTCGACAGGCGAACAGTTACTGCTGTTTTCGGATCGTGTCCTTTATGTAAATTATAATAGAATTTAAGAGTGTTTTACCAGGTTATCACAAAGAGCCTGCATAGAAGTCTGCATAAAAGCAGTTAGTTCTTCCCCTTCCTCATGATAAAAAAAAAAAAAACAGTGTTTGATATGTTCAAAATTAGTGAAGCAGTTACTGGAACAAATGGACTTTTGTACCCTCGAGCATGAATTATATACTAATACACTTGGAAATTTAGTTTCTTTCCGACATGCCCTTTCCGACAAGCCACTTTGCATGTGAAAATCCAGTGCTCGTAGAAAGACCACGCAACTAAATCTGGCGGCTTAGGTACGCAAAATTTTATCGTTGGTTGACGTTGATTCTTTACAAAGCAATAGAGCTCGATGTAAGAGCTGGAAAATTGTGATGGAGATTGCGCGCCTAAGTAAACTATCTTAGAGCTGGAGAGTCATACAAATGCAACAGATTTGGTAACAGACTTACCAGACAGCACTGCAAAAGTGTACACCGCTGCAGCTAGGAAGCAAATGGCTGCAAAGGTTGCCTTCATCTTGGACGGAAGATGTCGACGATTTAGTTACAGATTTCGGAGTGGGTTTATATAGTGCTTCGCCGGTGTAAAGAAAGCATGACTGTTATCGTTTTCTTTTCGTAGAAAGAGACACGGCCTTTCACACGTATTGTTGCCAAAGTCCGGTGACAGCGAACAAATCACAACAATCGAATTTCGCAATGTCTATGAAAGATATTCATAAAATATTTGCGTCACAAGCTGAACATTGGCATAAGATTTTGAAGGATAACAGAAGGAGAGCCTCAAGAAAGAAACGGAGTTAAACATAATTTTAATGAAAGCAATTTTTCTTGAGGCACTAGACCAGTGGTCCCAAACTCAATTGAGAACGGGGCCAGATGGCCCACACCGGACAGGTCGAGGGCCGACGTAAGAGGAGAGAGGGAGGGGCCAAAATGACACCACCGGTAAACGTGTTTGCCTTTTTAATAGAGTAAGAGAGCAACTACACTGTCGTTCCAGTTGCTCAATTCATTCAGGAATTAACCAAGCTCAACGTGTCTCTGAAAGAAAAGTTAGTGGCCATTTCTCGCTAATCTGATGATTTTTTTCAATGCGAGGGTCCCGAGCATGTAGCTTTACCTTTGACAGTTGTCCTGCTGATCGAGAGTTCGCGCAGCCGAGATGCATTCTTCAACGAAGAGCTCACGCTTGCATCCTAGTAGCGGAATTGTTTTACAATACAAAAAGCTGTGAAGCAAGAAATAGTACGATAACAGAGGGAAAATGAACGTAAGTATGAACTATGCGCGCTAAAAGAGCAGAGCTACTTTTTGAGCGAAAATGCACCGGCGAGATGAGATCAGCATGGCCCATGCCATTTTGGCGTTCAAGACTTTGCGAACCGAGATTCGTATTGGTACCGAGAAAAAACAGCATATCTTTTCGCTAACTGGATTATAGAACAGGAAATCTAACTGGATTTCTCGCTGGAAACCTGGAAACCTGAAATCTAGACAGCGGACAATTGTCTGTTGTCTAAATGCAGACAGTTGTCTGCAAACTGGATTTCAGGTTTTCAGCAATATATTTAGTCACCTTTCCTGTTCTATAATCCAGTTAGCGAAAAGTTATACTGGGCTGCAGGCCGAGTGCCTGCGAGTCGCGGGCCGGATGCGGCCGGCGGGCCGCGTGTTTGTGACCTCTGCGCTTGACAGTCATTTGATAATATAATGAATGCCTGTCTTCGCTGGAAAGACAATCCTACGTTGTAAACCTTACCAGTGACTTTTTCTCTAGGACCTTGCAGTTTGCAGTTTTTTTTAAAGGTTTATACATTTTGGTAAGTGAAGTAATGCCAGATTATCCTTATGGAGATCCTTAAGTTTAATCCGATGATGAATATTGTGCTTTAGTCATACCTGAACATTAATTCCTAAAATGTCGTTTTACGATGTGTTGTATCTATACTCCTTCATATTTGATAAGCAAACTGCAGCTGACAAGAGTGTTGATGTAGTGTTCGTTCAATTTTTCTAATCATCAGTGTTCTGGAGGCGGATGATAAAATATAAAGAGCGTATACAGGTTTGATTTTAAATGGAACAGTCCAAAAAATGGGTGATAATTGGGCAAGAGTCGCGTTCAGCATGTATCTATCTGTCTCGACGGACATTAGACGAGGGAATAATTGTCATGATAAGTTGACTAACTAACTAATATCTGCTGATTAACTGTTTTATTCTTGCCTGTGGGGATCATGTTGCAATTTCAGTGCTGGCGGATATTGCCGTCAGTGACAAAACCAATTAAAATAATTAAAAAAAAAATAAAGGTAAAAGAGTGGGCAATTATGTTATGCCTTACTCTGAAGCAGATGGAAGGGAGGTTTAAAAAATTAGTTGGCCTGCATCTATACACATTTTTCAGTGCCAAGACGCATAAGGACCTGTGCTCATTTAGGGCCATTGTTACCGAGATGGACACTTGGCAGCGCCAGATGGCTCCGTAACTCCAGAAGCAACTGTCGCCCTTAGATATCGGAGATCCTTACCGGGTGCACAACTCTGAGGCGGTAGCAGAGTTCTTTAAAGATAAGGAGGCATGAGAGTGGTCGGCCTTTAGTGTAAATGATGAAGACTTGTTTTATTCTTTGCCCCACGACCAGCTGTTATCCTCGGCGATTTCATGCATTGAGTGTAACAGGGAACTGGAATACAGAAACGCTACCGGTGTCTCCACTTTTATGAGAGCTCTATGATGGTTAGCTGGCGCGATAAGTGTTTCTTCAGAAAAAAGGCGTGAGCATAGGGTCATGGGTGGCGCCAGTCTTGAGTGATATTTTCCTTGCTGAGGTAGACAGAGCTGTAGGAAGTGCAAATGTTTTTCTGGGCTAAAAAAAAGTGTTCCGTTTCGTGGACTACTTTTAGTCCACTATAAAGGAGCTGATGGAAGTGACTCTCGGTATACGGTCTTGGATGCTTTCAGTAAGTGTGCTGTGGCACTCAGTTTCACGTTTGAAGAACCTACAGCAGGTGCACACCAAATTTTAGACATGTCGGTCAGCAGAGAGGAAAATAGCATGTGCTGGTCTTACAGACCCCGTTCTACGAAGCCTTATTCTGGACTAACGGTCTTCACATTCCAAAGTTGTGAAAGGACGGAATGCTGTCGCGTGTGTCTCCGGCTCTTAAGACGTTCTGTGCTCACACGATGAGTGACAGTTTCCGGGAGCAGGTAGGGAGGCTAATGACGTCGGGTTTTCGGGTGAGCCTTTTGGCGAAGGTAGCAAGTTCCGTTTTGAAGAAGGCCAAAGGTGAGGAGAAGGCTAATGAAAAAATTGACAGAAAACCATTGTCATCGTTCCATACCTACCTATATCGAAGCTCTCATAACATGAAGAAAGTCGGAGGGTGGTACGCATACCAGTAGTGCTCTCGGCGTCTCAAATATTGAGCCAATTCTGTTCTAGGGTTAGTGACGGGGCTAGTCGCCACAAAGGCATCTGCACTACAGCGCACCGAAAACAGTTCGTGACGTGTGTTTCGTCTGTTGTTTACAAAATCCCCATATCTTGTAATGTGTTTTAGGTGGGGCAGACGGGGAGGTGTCTCCATGGCTGGCTTAGAGAGCATTCCTATTCACTGGGGTCCACTGTTGAGGGGCATTTGGCAACACATAGCCGTAGATGCGAGTGTGTGCCGGATATCCGTTAGGTTGCTGTCCTGGACAAACAATGAAATAAACAAAGTGAGATTATAGAAGCATTTTTTATTTCCAGTTTGGGGGTCTATGTGTCAGCGCTCCGTCGGTGGCTTTGTCAGATAAAGAGGTTTGCTTTTTGCAAGCAAATATGAAAGATGGTTTTTAAGGATACTCATCACTTATGTTAGTGTCGTGCTTGATAGATGAGTAGGTGGTGGTTGTCGGTATCTGTTATCTGTTTTGTATATGCGGTTCCCTTCCAATTTGTTTTTACTAATAAAACTTCAGTTGCGAGTACAGCTTCGTCCTGTGAAATTTGTTCCTTCTCGTCGTCTTCGTTTTCGAGCTGTTTTTCATCATTTTCTTTGTCCACCTCCAGGTGCAGTGTAAACAATCGTTGTTGCGTTGTACCTTCCGAGGATTATTTACGCTTTGGCTGACCGACGTTGCCACCTTTCATGTATATTTTTGATGTTTTTTTTATTATAATTTGAATCAGCATAACGCAAAGTTACGAATACAAAGAAAGTGTTTTCAACGAGTGTCAAGCTTCTTTACACGTGATACTATTGTGATTTCCTAGAAAATCATAACTGCTTTTGCTTGAAAGTGACCTCTAGCTGCATGCGTTTTTGCATTACGTGAGTTCGCTCAGTTCAGTTGTTTTTTACAGTATGTTTCTGTTATAATAATCATTTCGGAAGACAGCAGCACAGCGATCTTAATCATTCGCTCAACAGTAGTTAATACAAGGCGTGGTGACGTCTAGTAAAATGAGTGTTAAAAGTGTGTGTTTTTATCAGTATTGCCCTCCGCCCACCTTACTACCCCCCCCCCCCCCCAAAAAAAAAATTGTTCTGATATTTCTATTTGTACCTTTCAGTGCTTTCAAACTACATTTAACATCTATTTTTATAATTATCTTGATACCTTCTTGCAAGTGTATCTCAGTTTTAGTATTTCACTAGTTTTTTGTTTTTTTAACGTGTCAAGATAATTTCATTTAGAAACATATTATTTGAATTTATGCTCAACGCCCATACTTTTTAATAAATTGAGAACAATATATTTTGGGGCATGAAGGATGAATAAGAAAAGCAAGATATGGACACATCCGCGTGTGTAACAAAGTCACACGTGTTTTCCCATGCCCATTTTTCATTCATTGTCTTTGTCCTCACCCCTGGCCTCGTGTTCTTCAGTTCATTCAGCTTGTTTAATTGAATATCTTACGCTAAATTGTAAGGCTAGGCGTCGATATAATGTTTAGCACGATTAATTGCTACCATTTGATCGATTAATTAATCTATTAATCGGTTTTGTTCATTACCATGCACAATAGACTAAGAAAGTACAAACTTTTAATAATTTATAAATGGCCGGCGCAATATATAATATAAATCTTAAGTCAGTCATGATGTCTAGTTAAAAAGAATTAGGACACAATGCTCTGAAATGCGAAATTAGAGCGCAGCCCTTGAGGAGGTGGAGGGGAGGGTACGGAGGAGAGGGTATGTCCCTCTTCCTCCTCCGTATCCTCTCGTCCTCTCCTCTCCCTCCTCTCCTCCTGCTCCAATTGACTATCCCCGCTTAACTTAGCGCGGAATATCACGTCACATGACTTGGTATCACGTCACCTATCAACAAATTCAGTTTGTCCGCTATATTTAGCGGGAATATTTGCCTCACATGACTTCAACACCAATTAAATTGCTTACTAAATTTAGCGGGAAATCGAATTGCTGTGGAGGTCGCGTGACGTCAATTTGAACGCTGAATCTAGCGGAGAAACTGAATTTCCCAGCTGAATTTATTGGGGAATTGATTCGCTG